TAACATCATGCCCAATGGGTGTGATGTGACAATATCATGCCCATATGGCTGACGTGTTATGACATCATCATGCCCATATGGGTGTGTTATAACATCATGCCCAATGGGTGTGATGTGACATCATCAAGCTCATATGGCTGACGTGTTATGACATCATCATGCCCATATGGGTGTGTTAACATCATGCCCAATGGGTGTGATGTGACATCATCATGTCCATATGGCTGACATGCTATGACATCATCATACCCATATGGATATGATATGACATCATCATGCCCATATGGGTGTGATATGACATCATCAAGCTCATATGGATGTGTTGTAACATTATCTTTCCCATAATATGGGTGTGTTATAATATCATCGTGCGCATATGGGTGTGTTATAACATCATCATGTCCACATGTAGGTGTTATAACATTATCATTCACATGATGGTGTGTTTTAACATTATCATGCCCATATGGTTGTGTTATAACATCATCATGATGTCCACATGTGGGTGTGTAATTACATTATCATGCCCATATGGGTGTCCCTTACATTATCATGGCCATATGGGTGTGTTATAACATAATTATGTCCATGTGTGATATGACATCATCATGCCCATATGGGTGTGTTATTACATAATTATGTCCATATACTGGTGTGATATGGCATGCCCATATGGGTGTGCTACAACGTCAATAACATCATCATGGCCAGATGTTGGTGTGATGTGATCATCATCATGCCAATATGGGTATGTTATAACATCATCATATCCATATATGGGTGTGATATGACATCATCAGCATGTTTATATGTGGACGAATAGCAAAGGTCTACTTCGTGAATACTTACCTGGATAAACCGACTAATTGCCTATTTCACTAATTTGTCACATGAAATTGTGGAAAGAAGCTGTGACAACTATAACAAAAAAATTGTCTAGCATATACCATAATCATATGAAGTTCATCTATGAAATAATGACGTCAGAGCATTTTTTTTTCACATACTGAACAATGCATTTGGAAACCATGCTAGTGCTGAGTTCATGGGTGCGTCCTCATCTGTGTTGATTTTTTTTCTTTTAATAATTCTTTAATTTGATTCTCCTGCAATTGATTTTTTTCTTTTCTCTTCATAGACAAGGGCATGCCACTGCCATGGTTAATGACACCATATACATGTTTGGGGGCAGTAGAGGACTTGATCACCCAACCAAGGTAAAAAGCCCATTCCATGCTCTTTTTTTTTCAAATATTTTATAGATTCAACAATATACTGTAGATAAAGAAATTGTAATTGAGAATTTAAAAACCTGTTATATTTTATCAAATCAGATCTCTGGGTTGATTTTAATTACATTATTTAATTATGTTTAGATACTGTTTTTGTTGTTATGAGATAATAAACAGCATTTTAATTATACCTATATTAGATTATGATATACTGCTTGCCATTTAACAGATACAAAAATAATACTGTTCGTATATCATTAGCATGAAAACTTTTATTGACTGTTTTTTTTATTTTCTTGACATTCGTAAGTCAGTAAAAACTGATTTGTTTCAATCTGTGTCTTTTTTAAAGTGTTTTATTATTTTCATATTTTACCATTATAATTCATAATTCAGTATGGATAATTTAATTTCTAAGGTTTTAGGTCTTTTCACATACAACATAAAACCAATGAACCACTAGTACAAAATTTTCTTTCTTTTTTTTTAGTTCATGCATTCTTTTTCTTTGTAGAAAACTTCATACTTTAGTGACATGTTCAGACTAAGTGGTAAAAATGTCATTATAACCTGTCTTGGTGTTCAAAAGATCATTAGCTGTGCTCCAACATACTATTGCTATAAAAAAAAAAAAGCAATCATGAAGCTTTAATACATTTTGTGTAAAAAATGTTAGTTGCTTACATTATACTGTCACTTCTGATAAAAGGCTGAATTAATAATAATAATAAAACTAGAAAATGAAGAATTGTTTACATGCTAAAATAAACATGCCTAGAATAATATTTGATTGCATAAATTCACTGCATCTTCTCCTTATCTTTGCTGTTACTCTCAACACAGTAGCTTTCAAAGTGTGGCCTTAGTACCCAGGTTTTCTTGAATATGTTATCTGCAACGTCAGTTACCTAGTAACACATTTTAGCAAAGTAGATAATATTTCATCCAATTTCTACGTTGTATTTTGCGATACTTATTGAGAAATTGAAGATTTGAATCCCTATGCCTGGATGTTACATCTTCTCCAGAATCGTTCCTGAGTGACTGCATTTCATCCTCATCTCATTATATACAGGCTGTCATCATTTTATCATTTTCTGCATTCACATTTACTATGTTTTTATTAATTGTTCTTTATTCATCATTGTGTGTGACCCTTAATTGTTCTTTAATTATCATTATGTGAGTGACCTTTAATGGTTAGAGGAACAGCATTCATTTGAACTGCATGCCTGTCTGTGTAAATTCATTTGGTGCATGGATTGCAATGTTGTTTTTTTTGTTTTGTTTCATAAGTATCACCATTTTTGTGTTTCATTGCTGTGATTAATTTTGTTGGTGCTCATTTATATAAATGCATGCTTGAAACATACAAGTATTTAATTTGTCTGAATTTCCATATTTTTTTTAAGTTGGAAAGCAACCCGAGTGGGTAGAAGTGACTCAAGGAGGTGATATCCCAGAAGCCAGAGATGGTCTAACATTGTGGTAAAAGTTTATATTTGTTAACAGATTGTTTTTTTGTTTTTTTTTTTGCATATTCTGCGAACATACTGTACAATAGTTAAATGTATGTACATAGTAGTAATCCAGTCAATCTGTGGATTGACCCAGAACTAATTGCATCAGAAATAATTTTTGCGGAATCTGTTCCAGAAATATACACAGAATAACATACTAAAAGTCCGAAAAAAATCCAATCTTTAAAATTAGTAATGTTCCCCTGATTTTCGGACTTTTAGTATATTATGTGTATATTTTAGGAACAAATTCTGTAAAAATTATTTCTGTTGCAATTAGTTCTAGGTTCAGTATGATTTTGTCATAGATTGACTGGACGATAGTGGTTCTAATGAGGCTAACATTTATGTATGCAAAATTACTCTTGTTTTGCTGTGAAATAGTACTTGGAGTGGAGTTGAATGGCTTAGTGGTTAAGATGCTTGCCTTCTAATCCCAGGGTCCTGGGTTCAATTCCTGTTACAGGAGAACTTTTTCTCACGACTAAAATAAAACTCCACTCACTACCTCATAAAGAGACTTCGCTAATAAAAGCATCACATCACTTTCATTTATTTTAGTATCAGCTGATTCTAAGATACAAAGTTCAACCTTTTTGAATGTTTTTTTTAATTTTTTTATTTAAAAAGTTGACCCACAGACATTTTAAAGAAAAGGATATTTTTAAAGGATGCTTTTAAAAAACATTTAATTGTTGCCATTTTTTGTACATTCCAGTGCTGTTGGTAGTGAGTTGTTTTTATTTGGTGGTAAGAATCATCCGAATGCCAAGCAGTGTCTTCCAGGAGTCTACAAATGCGATACATGTAAGGCACAAAGTGAATTTATTCTAATGGTTTTATTCTCAGTTTTCATAATAATATCACTTGCTATGTACTAATGATTTTTTTTACATTTTAAAAATAATATTAGATGTTTTGTATTTCTCATGGTTATATCATTAATGCAGAAATAGTATGTTATTATTCTGGACTATATTTGTAAACAGTTTAAGCAAACACAGAATACAATGGATGGAATCAATGTCAGTATTTGTCTCATATGTTTTGTATTTATAATTGTATGTTAATATTGTAGATAGTTTATATTATTATTCTGTAATGCAAATACTGTATTGATAAAAATATGAAACAAAAAATACAAGAATACAATGTAAATTGTTGCCGAGTCACAAGGCTCATATGGGCTGGAGCTTAACCCCAGTTTCAAGTAGCATGAAATGGATGGGAGCGTAATACTCCCCCTGGGTGGGACAATGGTCCACCTCAGCTTATCCCCAGCAGTTTGCTGGTACCCATTGATACAGCTGGGTAGAGTGAAGCAATGTAGATAATGCACCTTGCTCAAGGACACAAGCGAAATGCACAGCGAAGTATTGGAACCATAAACTTGAGGTGGGAAACCAAACCACTCCACGTGCCAAACCACCTCCACCATAGAATAGTATCAGTTTCTTTAGTTTGTTTCATATTTGAGAAATTTTAAACAAGGAGAATGTTACATATGTTGCTTGCATTGGTTTTTTTGTTTTTGTTTTTGTTTTGTTAAACTGGCAGAGTACTAGGTACCTGTTAGTTTGATTGAAAAGGAGTTCAATTCGAGTACAGTATGGCTGTAAATTAATTGTTTTCTTACCTCCAGCTAATCACCACTGGGTAAAATGTAAGACGAACGGCCCTGAGCCTGTGACTTTAAGCCATGATACAGCCGTCGTTCGTGAGAACCTGTATGTGATTGGTGGAATTAGAGAGGGTCAAGCAACCAATCGGGTGCATCTGTTTCAGACAGCAACTTCAACATGGACTCTGTTGCAAACCCAAGGAATTATACTCACCCCAAGGTAGTTTATAAAGAATATTTATCTTATGCTCTTACCTCATCTTCTTTGACAAAACAACTACTGTATGCTCATGATGTGCTGCAGCTATATGGTCAAGGTGTGAAGTGATCATGACCATTTAGACATGCACATGTTTTTGTCGAATACAATTTGATAGTCGTGACAGGGTTTTAAATATCAATATTTCCATAGTATCATTGTTTGTTGATACCAACAGTGCACCAGTAGAAAAGAAACTTTATTATTTTTTTCATATTTTCTTTTCTTTTCATGTTTTTCACCAGATGCGACCACCGCTGTGCTGCTGTTGACTTGAAAATATATGTGTTTGGTGGCTGTCGTGGATACCAAAAATGCCTGAATGATGTTTATATTCTGGACACAGGTATTAATAATTATAACAATGGCAAGGATATATGCACTTTATGCCCAGAATGTCAAATTTTATTTGACAAAAAATGTTTTATGCCCATATATAGTCATGATGTGCCTATATATGGTCATGATGTGATGTCATCATGACCATATTTAGGCATGTCACATGTTTTTGTCAAATATAATTTGATAGGCTGCACAGGGCTTTAAATTTTTTCCCCAGTCATCGGATCAAACACCTATGAAGCACTTACTCTGCTACACAGGGAACATCACATGCTTCACATATTTTATAACCAGATAGACCCATGTTTAATGATTACTTTTAAATATATTAATGTGGCAAAAACCTTTCATTCATTACTTGTATTATTTTGTAGATTGTCTGGTTTGGTCAAAACCAGAGGTCAAAGGTGATGTGCCTTGTGTGAGAGGTTCCCATTCATTAACAGCACACTCCAGCAAGGTAAAATGTAATGTTGTGTGGTATCAATGATTTAATATCTGCTGCCCTCTATAGTTGGTATCTACGGAATCATTGCAATATTTACATATAGTGTCTTATAATGTTGTTACTGTATAATTATTCGAGAGCGGCGCTTATTCAAGCATTTACGGCAGTGATTTACGATATGTGTATAAAGTGAATGATAGTAACTTACTATAATAACTTCCTGGCAACTCATCTTCTACCTGTTATGATATCGTGTTGCTATGTAAATTTGTCTGAATAAATAAACATCATATTTTAACATTTATAAGGTTGATTTATAAAGCCTGGTAGATAAAATCATTACATAATTTGCAGTATTTGATTTGCACTCATTTTTGCAGTATTTATACATTTTTGGCGGACTAAGTGTTGCTGGTACATCCGACATTGTCCTGGATGATCTCTACAAACTGAATCTGGACACTCTTACATGGAAGAAGCCATTCTTTACTCACGTTTCACCAGCTAAACGCTTCAATCACTCGGCCACTATTTACAAAAATCATGTAAGAAAACTCAACTCCAAATCAATTCAATACAGTAAATATTTGAAACACAATTGAGTCCAGATCTCTTCACAAAATTATATATAATACTTAATATAGGGTATAGCAAGTGTCTCAAGTTTCCTGCAAGTTGTGCCGGAAGTCTCCAGGAAATTGGGACAGCCTCCCGTAATCCTGCAAGCACTGTGAATGAACCTCCTGGAAAATGACATTTTCCGCAATTCATAATATTTGCACGTTTTCTCTACTTTATTTATCAATTGTCTGACGGAAATCGGTGACCAGGGGCGGATCTAGAGATGTCCAAAATTGGGGGGGGGCGAAAGTGGGGCCGATCGAGAATACATTAGCCTAAGGGGAGGTGGGGGGCATGCCCTGTGAAATTTTTGTTTTCTTGACACCCAAAAATAACCTCTGAGGCATTTTGGGCAATATTTCTTTTTCATTCTTTCTCTTTTTTTTTTTCTTTTATTTTGACTTTGCAAAAGGGGATCCCGGAGCCAACCTGGAGCCGACCTGGACCCCACCCCCCTTCAATCTGCCCCAGGTTACAATAGGTATCACCTTGTGCAAAAAAATTTGATGTAAGAAATCTCATTTAACCAGATCTCCCAGAAATGACTTTTTCAAACTTGGGACCCCTTGCATGGTTGCCTGACACATGGTTGCCAAATACCATTCCACAAATTATCCAGGTAAATTTTTATCACTTATAAAATGAAATCATCGATTAATTTTGTCTGTGTGATTTATCTTTCTGTTTGCTACAGTTATATATCATGTATGGTACTAACGAAAATGAAGACTTATTTGATGTCAGCATTGCACGACTTATCAATCCATCCCACAGGAAACCATGTAAGTTTTGTGCAATTCAGAATTTATTATTTTTCTAACTGCCTTGTGAAACTTAAGTAAAGCCTGATGAATGAAACCTTAAAAAACAAATAAAAATAATACAGTAGATACTTTTAATTAAATACAAGGATAGAGAGTATATTAATCAAGTGATATACCTGTATAATAAACAGGGGACACTTTTAGCTGTTATCATCTTCCTTGTACTAATTAATGATTCACTGCAGGGCATTGAGGATATGGGGATCGACGCCTGGAAATATGTTGATGACCAAACACTTTGCGAAACAACTAAGTTAGGCCAATCCACCAATTTGCAAACTGCACTTGACAACCTTCATCATTGGACTGATGTTAA